ATAAAGGTTCTATTATGGACTACATTGTGTCTTTTTGAAACTGGGTGGTTTTATAATAGTATATAAGGGTATATAATAGACCATTTGTACCTTCCCTGAATTAGAGGTCAAAACTTAATCTCTGATGTTGACTGAATTTGGAAGTAGAGTCCTTAAGGAGGCAATTAAGAACAAATGAGGTCATAAAGTAGGAGTGAAATCCAATTCAAGTAGAGTCCATTAAGGGAAGGAGTGTAGATACAGAGTATGTGCTGGAGAACAGACACGTGAAGAAGAATCACTTCACACACTCCTCAACAAACACCAACAATACACTAATAGGCTTTGGAACTATAGGGGAATAAGCATAGTTTAAACACTTAGCCAAAATACTTTGAATTGTTTTCTAGATTCCTAATGCAGAGGATCAGGTAAAAAATGTGACGAAGATATTTGGAGTTTTAATGTCTCTAGTAAGAAGATAATATAATAATAGTAAGATGGTTACTATCTATTTTCAACTTTCTAGAATTCAAAATTCCCAGGGGACCCAACTCTAATTATCTTTCAGCGTTTCCAAAGAGGATTAACTGAGGAAGGAAAACTCAAACAATATCATTGACTGAGAACTATTTTTTTTTAAATCAATGAGCCTCTGGAGAACATTTCCAATTCAAGCCACAACATATAAGCAGTAGCCTTCATTTCTCTTTGCTTTCTGGCCTTCCCTGTACCAGGGTTCCACTACAATGACATTCACACCACATGGGAAATAAACTGTGACAAACATGTGGATGTCCTAGAGTCAAGTTTCTTTGTCAGATAATTTTAATATCCAGGCAAAGTATTTTATTAATAATGCATTTAACCTAAATAATAGTATCAAGTGGGAATATTTCAAGTAAGGTTTTAAAAAACTAGCTACTGTTTTCTGGCAAGGTCTACAGGTAGATTAATAAGCCACTGAAGTACCAATTGCTTACCTCTCTGAAGTCTTCTGAAGACATCAAACAAAGGCTCTCCAGTGTGAACTATTGTAAATTTTTGCAAGAATGTAAAACATATTTTTTAATTTTATCACTATGAAAAATGTGCAATCACCAGTTTCTGCAGCACATTAAAGGTTATATGTAAGATATCTTAGGAAAGCATCCTTCTATGTGTCCAAGTACACAAAGCAAATGCTTCAGTATTATAAATCATGAGGTTAAATGGAATGATTACAAATAGCTTGAATATTTTACAGAAACTCATTTATGTAAACAAGTATGATTAAATGTTAGGTGACTGTACTTGAAAAAATCCTGTTCCGAACACATGATTAGTTGTCGTATACCAACTAACATATTGATGATTCTTGTGATTCTATCTTCTTCTTTTATTCTTAGGATAGAAAATTGGTAACGCTGACTGTATTTCTTTTGCAAAGTCTCTGCCCATACTTTGTTTTGCTGGTCTGCTTTCTGTCTATATCCAATTCGTGCATAAAGTAAATTGTGCCACAGTATTTAACAACATGACATTTTCTACCTAAAAGAAAAGATGATACTGGACAGTGGAACTCTGTAACTAGTTCACACAAACCTAAATTACTTCCTTATTTGCATGAAGCAAATAAAAATATGATCTTTGAAAGCAGAGAAGCAATACCAGAGATAAGAAATGTGTTTTTTGGTGGGCTTCAGTTTACAAATTCCATTTTTGTCTTGAAATGTGTGCAAAGTATTTTAGATTATGTTTGGATTAATCAAGGACATTTCTAAGTTTTAGGGCAGACACCAAAAAATTGTAAAATATACATATAAAAAAGTGATAATCACAGAAATAGTTGATTCAAGCAACTGGGAACTCTCTGACTCCAGACTGACAGCTAGGGAACCAGCATAAGACTGAACGAGGCTCTCTGAACATGGGTGACAGGTGTGTGGCATAGGCAGTCTGGGGACAACTAGCAGCGGAATCAGTATATATCCCTAGTGCATGATCTGGCTCTCAGAGCCCATTCCCTATGGAAGAATACCTTGCTTAGCTTAGTTGTGGGAGAAGGACTTTGGTCCTGTGGCAAGTGATGTGGTAGACTTTGTTAATTCGCCATTGAAGGCCTCACCCGCTCTGAGGAGTGAATGGGGGTGGGGAGAAAATGAAGGGAAAATAGCAAAAGTTAATATAAAAAAATATGACTTACATTATTTTAAAACAAAGGAACTCAAAACAGGAGATAAACAAGGGATTTTTAAAGTTCACAAACAATAAATGTGCAATCAGTAAAAATAAAATATTATAGTAATTACCATAAGAAGAGCTAACCAGACCTTTTAGTTCCTTCATAAAAACTATCACATTAGAAATTTAAGTAAATAGGAAGTATGTATTCAAGGAGAGATACTATCAAATTGAAAAGTGGAATATAAGTTATGAAAATATTTAAACATCAATAAAATTAAGGCTTATATATCTGCTTTCTAAGGAATTATTAAATTCAAATTGTCATTAAAAGCAATACATTTTTAAGATTAATGGTTTTAAATTGTCATCTTTCATTCAGATTCTATGCTACAATGTACAAGTATCTCCTAGGGTGGAGAAATAGCTCAGTAGATAAAACATTTTAGTACAAAATGAAGGAATTGAGTTCATATGCCTCACTCTCATGTAATTGCTAGAGCAATATGGTAGTCTATCTGTAAGCCCAATATTAGTGATGCTGAAACAGAGTCTCAGACAAATATGGGTACTGAGATTGACTGAGCTGTCAATGTTGACTTAAAGCAAGAAAGTCATGATCAATAAATATATAAGACGTTGTGAAGACAAAGAACAAAAGACAGGACTCACACAAAGAAATGGACTTATACACACAAAAATACACATCACACACACTTAAGGTCGAAACCAATAAGTCCCTTTTAATTTGTTATTGTGTTCATTTTTAGAGAAACTCTCTCTACATAGATCTGGCAGGCTGTGATGTCCCACACTTCTCCCTCAGTCTTCTTGTAGCTAGGATTACAGGCTTGTTACCCACATATGCTTCAGTGTCTCGTCATTTCATCTTAAATATTTAAATAGTGGGAAAAAACTATTTAATAATCCATGTAGTAGAAGTTAAATATATAACTGGATTTTAATCTGGTTCATGTTGACGAAAGAAAATTAGAAAGTTAGCCAATGAGTGGTGAGATGTCTCTAAAACTTAAGGATTTTGTTAGATGTAGAAGGAATCATCTTGAATTTTAAGACTCTGAGCTTTTCTTCACAGGGAATTCAGATATTCCTGAATTTCTATCTGTTGACATTTAATAAAGTCAGAGGTTTTGTTGTTGTTGTTTTTGTGTTTTTATATAGAGAGCATTATGTAGGTTAGAACTTTTATTTCTTTCAATGTAAGTAAATCACTGTGTGCTCTTCAGGTACAATATGATTATGCAGGTAAACAAGTTTTCCAAGTATATGAAATTGAAAGAAAAAAGCAAGAGAAAATGTCCTAACAAGTCCTATGAATTTATTATATGTTTTTGAATGTCATGTTTAGGTATTCTTTAACTGCATTTTAAAAGGCTTCATAAAATATTTGCGAGTTTCCTGAAAAGCCAGAAAATCAGAAACTGTAAAACTTGTTTAGCTATCTACCTTTACATAGAACAGCTGGATTAGAACTTCAATGACTATGAATTTGTCTTTATTACATCTTCCAATCTGCCTTCTGTTTTACTATGTAATGGCAAATAAAATATTGATGCACATCTCACTAATTGCAGGATTGCTTAATTACTTTCTATTTAAAATTGCAATGTTTTCATTGAATTAATTTTTATTCAATAGTTTTCATTTGAGGACCATGCGCTGTCCTGATATATTAGGTTCGGTAAAGTTAGACTATCCTTTCACTACCCCCAGCAACACTTCAAAAAAGATTCCCATTTTTCTAAAAACAGGAAATCTTTCAAAGAAATAGTTAGGTCAATGTCTCATAATTATTTAATGTTACATGCTTATTACATTGCACAGTAGGTAAAAGAACAATTAGGCGTTAGTTAATAATAACAAAAATAAATTATCATAGTTTCTTCCAAGAATATTTTACTAATTGTTGGATGACCAACTGGTAAAACAGTAAACTATCTATAGTCTATAAAGGAAGAAAGATAAACATAAGCATTCATATTTGCCCATGAGTCTGGGTATATCTGTGTTCAATATACTAATATGGAATCTATATACCATAAAATATGTGTATAGCACAGAGTACTTCATATTATTATGGAAGACCAGGTGGACTTTTCTCAGAAAACTAGGAGCAAATGGTTTAGAAGATGTATCATATTAGCTACAAATTCACATCTAGTCAGTCATGCTAGAAAAGCTCATTGTCAGAACAGTGTCTAGAATATGCAAAGGGCCTTGGCCAGGCAAAGCTTAAGGATGAAAAGGGAAATAAGACAGAAAAGGTCCAAAGCAAACTCTCACTATTAAGAGTGCACACTATTAAGCCTGCACATAGTTACAAATGTCTTTCTTCATCGTTTTAGTTGAACATAGAAATGGAATTCTGACTTTGCAGGAGATCTATTGAATCTCTTGCTTCTGTTTTTCAGTTATAGATTACTTTTGTTTTGCTTGAATATCCTTTTCTGCAAACAATTTAAAGAAAAGAAAGAAATAAACTAAAACCTTAGTGAAGCTCATGTTGGTTCCCTGAAGACAAGGTTGATGATTACATACCCATACCACTGCTCCTACCCCATAACTTTGTTAGTCATTTAGGCAAATAACTGGGCTTGCTGTGGTTGAACTCCCAGCAGCCGAGAATCAAGTGTATTCTGGTTTTAGCTACTTATTGTAACTAAACAGAGTGCTAGGGTCAAAGAGACCAGAAACCCTGGTAGTTTTCCAGAGCCCTTTTGGTGTACTAGTTAGAAAATGGCTCCTACATGCGGGTGAGCAAGCAGGAGCAAAACTCCTTTGTCCCTTCAGGCTCTCCGTACATTTAAGACCACCACTTCCTACTTAGCCATCTCCTTAGAGGACCAACACAAGATGCCGCTTGCGTCAGTTGGTGTCAGGTCAGTAGTATAAGGAGATAGCTTGGATTTGAGCAGAAAACCATAGGTGGCTGTGCTTTCTACCGCAAAGCCATTTTAGCCTCAGAAAGATGGTTTCAGAATGCAGCCTGTTTTTGAAGGGTGTGATGCTCGGAAGTACCGCCTTTGCCTTGATCACGGTGTTTGGACACCTTAGGCCAGGTCGCAGAAACAGGATGCATAACCACGAACATCACCACCTGCAAGCTCCTAACAAAGAAGTTTTAAAAATGTCAGAAGCCGAACGCGTGGAACTTAGTAACAGCATCCGGGTTTACTGTATCATTCTTGTCACACATCAAAATGTGAGTTTGTGGGCTGCAGTGAAGGAGACTTGGGCCAAACACTGTGATAAAGCCGAGTTCTTCAGTTCTGAACATGTTGGAGTGTTCGAGTCAGTCACCGTGAATGAAACTGACACCTGGTTGATGATCAAACAAGCTTCCATATATGCCTCTAATAAATACAAAGACCAATATAACTGGTTCTTTCTTGCATATCCCACCACATTTGCTGTTATCGAAAACTTAAAGTATTTTTTGTTAAGAAAAGATCCATCACAACCTTTTTATCTAGGTCACACTGAACGTTTCAGAAGCCTTGAATATGTGAGTGTGGAGGGAGGAGTTGTCTTAAGTATAGAATCAATGAAAAGATTCAACAGACTTTTCACTGTCAGTTCAAGTGAGTGTCCGGAAGAGGAAACAGGGATTTGGGGGATGGCTGAAGATCTGTCGCTAGCACACTGCCTGGGTTATGAGGGAGTGTTGGCAGAAAATGCTGAAGACGAGGAAGGAAAAAATTTATTTAATACCAAAACTATTGGGATGTTTATTAAAGAGGCAATTACTGACTACCCGAACGATATCATAGAAGGATGTTGTTCTGACATGGCCATCACTTTCAGTGGACTGACTCCTGATGAGATGCAAGTGATGATGTACGGGGTGTACCGTCTTAGGGCATTTGGACATATTTTCAATGATGCTTTGGTTTTTTTACCTCCAAATGGTTCTGACAATGACTGAAAAATAGTTAGAGCCTGTATTTGATAACTACAGAAGCCCTAGTAGCTGCAAAAAATAATATACCCAACACAGGAGAGTGCCTCTTTCTTGGTCTAATCATATTGTGTTATTACACACTGAAGTTCAATTTATATCCTTAGATAATGTGTTATTTTCCCTTAAAGTACTTGTAAAATTTTTACATGTTGTAGATAAAAGCTTTATTAATAGCAAGAGTTCAAATAAAGGTTGCATTTATATGGTGATATTTTGTTCGTGATCTAACAAATCTTTCCTGAAGATCAGAGACACAGAGAAGCCAGGCACTAGTTCTTACCTCTGCCTCAAACTGAAAGGGCAATCCTGGCTCTAAAAATCTGCCAAGCTAAGCCACTACTAGTTAGACACAGAGGATAGTGTGTGACACAGCCTTTAATCCCAGCACTCGAAAGCAGAGGCAGATAGATCTCTGTGCAAGGCCATCCTGTTCTACACTAGACTGATACAGATTTAAGAGAGACAGATCTCACACCTTTGATTGCAGTACTTGGGATCACATGCCTTTAATCCCAACACTAGAGAGATGGAGACAGGACTGATAGGGTGGGATGGAAAGAGGAATATAAGGCAGGAGGAGACAGGAACCCAGAGCATTCGGTCTTACATTTCCTAGAGACAGGATCAGACTTTCGGTTCGAATAGAGTTAACTAGTTGCTGGCTGCTCTCTTTCTTTGATCCTTCAACTTTCTCCTGCTAATATTCGACTCCAAGTTTTTAATATTAAGACCAATTAGAATTCAGGAAACACATTTATAAACTTATTTATGTGATGCTTATTAAAGTATAAACATTAAATACATGGGAAACTATTATGTATTCAACTTTAACGTTTTATGTCTTTAGTTACCAACCATGTAAATAAAGTTTTAACTGTGAATTTATGACTAACAAAATACTTTTAAAAAAATCTTCACTAAACTGATCAGTGGTGGTGCATGTAATTAATCAGAGCTCTTGGGAGGAAAGGTGGGAGTATTTCTGTGAGTTTGAGGCCACCATGGTCTACATAGTGAGTAGTGAGTTCCAAGACAGCCAGGACTATACAATACAGTGAAACTCTGTGTGTGTGTGTGTGTGTGTGTGTGTGTGTGTGTGTGTGTGTGTGTGTGTGTAAGAGAGAGAGAGAGAGAGAGAGAGAGAGAGAGAGGAGAGAGGAAAAGTAAAGGACATCTCACTGAGACCCTGACAGTATCCACTTAACAACATTCCAGTTATAAAAGGACATATTTGACGAAGCTACCTATAATTTATCTCTATTTTTTAAGTGATGATGCACCTCTCAGCCTTGTTCAAGTTCTGAAATTAGATGTTGACTATGGATCCTTACAAATAAACCCTAGAAAGAAAATCATGTTATACAGATTATATTCAAATTTTCACATCAATATGCATGGAAAATTTGTCAGAGACAATAAACTATGCAAGGATATCTCAGTTTTTAAAAGTCATTAAGCTACATATCAAAGTTCTATGATTTATAAGATACTATGCTAAAGCCCTTGACTGAAGCAATAATCTTAAATTGATATGTATTATTAATATGCCCCCTTAAATTTTATTTGATTTGTTATTTCATATGGTAATGTGAGGGAGAAAGAAAACCAATAACGTTAATAAATGAATTCCGGTTTAATTATTTACTTAAGAAATTCTGAATTATCTTTCAGTTAAAGCAAGGCTATGTTTTACAGTGTTAAACTATTTGAAACATGCTAACTTAAGAGCATATAAAGGGAGGTATATCAGGGTGTCCCATCCTTAGAATTCGTTTGGCACTAAAATCATTAAAAATTTAAAATAAATAAAAGTTCCAGAGAATTGGCAAAACATGAAAAGCTTACTTAGAAAACTTCATCTGTAAACGAAATACATAGATGTCACCCTTATATTTTATTAAGATTGTCCTCAAATTCCCACATGATTGGAAAGACACTAGGGAAAACACAGACCGAGAAAGCATGACTACAGTAAACTAAAATTGAATTCCTTTTTAAAAACATCCTAGAAGCTAGAAATTTCTTTTCATGTAAAAATTACATTATATCAGACATTATATAATCAGTCCTTATTATTCTATTTTGCAAGGAAGATTGGAAGGAGAGCGATAAAGTTCCATAGTGTCCTTCATGCTGCAATGCAATGTGGTGGAATTCTCCTGACAGTGGGCACAAATAGATTTTTGTTTTGGTGTTCCTGTTGACTTAATACTCCTATCTGTGCCACAGCCCATATTGCCCAGTGGTGGTTTTTTGTTTTTGTTTTCTTTTTTTTAAAGTATTTATTTATTTATTATGTATACAATATTCTGTCTGCATATATGCCTGAAGGCCAGAAGAGGGCACCAGACCTCATTACAGATGGTTGTGAGCCACCATGTGGTTGCTGGGAATTGAACTCAGGACCTTTGGAAGAGCGGGCAATGCTCTTAATCTCTGAGCCATCTCTCCAGCCCCCCAGTGGTGTTTTTGTTTGTTTGTTAATATTCCTGTAACTCTCATATACATCTCTTCTTTTGTCAAATGCATAATTTTATTTTTGACACCTCAACTCCGGTCTCAGATATTCTGTAATGTTTTAGCATCCAGTAGTCATTAATCTTCTCATGAATTCCATTCTTTTATTAGATTTTCCACTTAGCCAATAATTCACAAGTCATAAGCAAATTTGGAATCATAGAATGATAAGAAGAATGAGTTTTAAAATTCTCAGGGTGCAGATTGGTAGACTGGTAAATTTATCAGCCATCTGTCTAAACTGTCACCTTATCTAATATTTATATTTTTGAGATTATTTGTTATTTGGAAACTTCCTGAACATCTTATGTATTTTGATGGACATATTGTTAAGCCAGAATACAGTCAGTTATAACCTTCCCAAGAACAATGATTATGACCTATCTACTGTTCATTACAGGAAGTGTATATGTTATTGAAGAGACAAACCATAGAATTAAGTTACTAAACACAGTGGCCAAAATAGTTAAAGATGTATTTTTAGTAAGGTACCAAAGTTATTTCTTCAATTAATTCCTGTAAAATTAAATAAATATTAAAATATCCAAACCTCAGGTTGCAAAATTTTAGACAAGGGAATTTTCCAATTCTGTGTGTCATTGCATGATCAAGGGAAAAAGAAGATATGAAAATATAAGCTTCAATAATTATCACAAGGCTGTATCATTTTTCCATTATCTTTGCTAGAAACATTCCATTTTTTGGAGATAGGAAAAGATGTAATACAGTGTAAAGTGAGAAAAAGCAGTACAAATAAATTATTTTTATTTTCAAGACTCTGAATAAGTACCCAAGAAAGAATAAACCAAATTTTTACTTTATGGTTGGTTTATATTTTTATATGCCGTGCACTTAAGGATTTTGATGATGTAAAATAGCATGTATCTATTACTAGTGTAAACTTTATTCTGATCCACTAATGCATTCTTTTCTGCTTACTCAAGAATGGTAATTCAAATCATATAGTTTTGGTTTGCAAGATTCACTAGCTTTCTGTTCTATTCATGCTTCTGCCTTGTTGAGTGGTTTAGTTTTACTACAGAATGTGAATGTATTCTATTGAATGCATATTTCACAATCCATGTATTCAACAACTCCCAATATTATAGAATTATTTTGGTAAGTAATAGAAACATTTGTCTTAAGGTATGTGTTTGAGAGTGTGCACGTGTACACCAGGTTAGTGTACAGTACTCTCCGTAGCTTCATAAGAATTAATTGTCTCCCATTGAGCCTACATCATTTTGCTTTCCCAAATATAAGTATGGGAGGTCTTGCAGCTTTACAGGCTCAGTGATATTTAATGTGATCTCTGCTTTTCAGTCATCCCAGAAAGTATATGTTGACATTCACTGTTAATTCACTTTTCTGTGTAGAATTTTGAATAATTTTTTAATATGTTTATTTTCAACTATATTATCTCTTTAATTAAGCACAAAGATTAGATATCAGTGATGGGTTGAATCATCACTCCTAAGAGTTCACATTCTAAAGTACTTTTCTCCAGTATCTCACTTTGAAACTTTATCTGAAAAAAAGGTCATTGTTAGATACTTGAGATTATTGATAAAAATGAACTGTTACTCCAAATTGGATGGTGTCTTCAGAAAAGGGGAAATTTAAACACAAGCAAGAATATTAGGATAAGCAAAGTGGAAGGTTGAAGCAGCCTAATGCTTCTAGAAGGCAAAGATTGAAGAATATTAATGTCAAGTCCATTAAACAGATTGTTTCAGAAGCCCCAGAACAAAGCAGATTTCCTAGGACTTGGATATGGATGTGAGACCACGGAATTATCAATAACTGAATTTTCAGTTTTGAGTCACTGATATTATGAAATCTGTTCTGACAGCTTCTACAAATTTATAAACTTGTCAAAACTTAGTAGTTGCTTTCGAAAAAAGTGGACTTTCTGTTTTATTGCTAACTTTTATCAGTTGTTTGTAATTCAGAGATATGAGTCTTTGATCAGATATATATCTACCTGAGTGTTTTCTCCCAGGCTCTGGTCTGCTTTTAAATTAATCACTTAATGTGTAAACAAGAAAAAAATTACTTCAAAGAGCCCTAACTTATTGAGTTGGATATACCCTATGTTTGGTGACATATCTAAAATTCTTATCACCAAACACAAGGTTAATTAGTTTTGCACCCATCTTATTCAAGAACTTTTATAGTTTGGGCAATACGCTTAAGTCTGTGATATGAGTGTGTGTATGTGTGTGTGAGAAAATGCAGCTCCAAAATACAGCTGTGTTGTTTTCATTTTTCTTTTCATTCCTCACTCCCTTCCTTTCTTTCTGCTTCCCTTCCTTTCTTGTTTTTAATTTTTCCTTGTGAGTATCCAATCCAGTTGTTCCAAAATATTTTTTGAATTCTTTCTCCTTTGAAATAATTTTTCTTTATTGTAAAAGATAAATTATCATTATTCGGTAATCAGTTTCTAATTCCATATTTCTTCCTCTTAGCATTGTCACAATTTTTGGCTAATACTTTATTAATTCCAAAACTGTGACTTTACGCTGTTATTTCTGTGAATGTTCTTCAGTATTATGTTGAGTATTATATTCTCATTTTTCTTCTGATCATACATACTTTTGAACTATAGTCTGTAGATAGCCATGAGATAATT